TACGCAGGGGCCGCGTTGCCCCCGGCCGGCGTAGACGCCCCCATGCCGCCGTATTCCAACCTTTTTGCCCCAAATGCTGCACCGCCGTTCAACAACAGGCTGCGGTTTCCGCTGCAGCAGCAGCAGCAACAAGCCCTCCAACAGCCCCCAGCCTTTTGTCCACAATGGGGAGTTCAGCCGCCGTCGCAGCCGCCATTTATGGGGCTTCCTCCGCCATGCGCCACCCCGCCCATGTTTAACCCTTCGGCCATCATGCGCATGGACCAACAGCCTCAACAGATAAATGAACCCAATTCCCAATTTGTGAACCCGGCGCAGTTCCCAAACACGGCGCAGGGAGGCATGCTGGGGCTGAGTATGCAAGAGCTTGAGGTGCTGGCGCGGCTCATTGTGCTTGCTCGGAATGAGCAGCAACAGCAGCAGCAACAACAACAACAACAACAACAACAACAACAATTATTTTTCTCCCAGAAGCAGCCAGTCCAACAACCACAGTATTGCTACTACCAAGGTGGAAAGCAGCCGGATATAGGAAACACGTGGAATTCGTTGAATACTTCGCCTGCGACACACTTTGGCGTGAATCAACCCCCTGCTGGTACCCACGCACAGGACGCCGCTGCCGACGCCAAGCCCTCAGGGACCTTGGAAAACGACTTCAGGGTAGTGGCGATGCCGGAGCGGCAACAGGGCACGCATCCCCAATAAGGGCATATAGATATACACTTGACCTAGAAATGTCATATATCATATATATTTATATGTATATCACATACAAACGAAAAGAGGAAACATGGCGAAGCCCTTTGGGCCTTGTGCGAAATTCATGCCTTTGCTGCATGCAGCAGAGGCAAGAGGAATTATTTCGTTTTCCAAAAAGTTAGGGAGACGGAGCTCATGGGTAGTCTGGCGCAGCTGCACGGCCGCGGCCGAAGCGGTCTTCAGAACATGCTGAGGGGCTTCCCTCTTTCGTTATTTCTCTCTCTCTCTCTCCGTGTATACTGTGTGCCTCTCCTTCTGCACGCCGAGCGACATAAACCGCGGCGCCCATGTTGATATACACGCATGCCCTCTTGCTTCTTCTAGAAGCTCTCTTCCCCTCGCGAGGAGCATGTATGCCCCCTTTGTTCTCAATCTGTCCCTTTCCTCACCCCCCCCCCCCCACACACGCACGCAAGAAAAAAACGGACATGCCACGGGAGGCAACACTGCGGTGTCAAAAAATCCATGGGCGAGTTGAGCTGCTTTGCTGCTGTTATTTTACATTTTCTTTGGGAAGGTAAAAAAGGGATATCGAAGCAGCAGGGGTGGTGGAGGGGGAAGTGGGAGAGAAGGAGGAGTAGGAAGAGGGAGACTACGCTCTATATCCACCGAAGTATATCTTGCTATATAAAGCGTATATTTGTGTCACCTGACAGACACCCTCCTGCGCTGCTGTGACCGTCACGATTATATATATATATATATATATATATGTATTGTATATATATATATATATATATATTATATATATATATTTCTTTTTCTTTTTTGACTTGCACGCAGTGAGGTCTAAGGACGAGCGTGATTTGTCGTTGTTTGTTCCCCAGTTGCAAGGGTGCGGAAGTGATGTGCCACAGGATGGGGGCGCAGTGAGTGAGGGCGCGCCTTGCTGAGTTCCCACCCTCCCACCCCCTCCCCCTCACTTCCCTTTGCTCCCCCATTATTGGATTACTTGACTTTTCCCTTTCCGCAGACCCCGCGTTGGAAGGCAGCGGCAGTGTAGTTTTTTTTTTGTCACTTTGCTTCTCACTTCATTTCTTCCCTTCCCACCCTACTTCCCCCCTGCTGCCACGAATACAAAACGGCCCCTTCGCGAGTTGCCAAGGAGAGCCCCCGGCCATCATAGTTGTGCGACACTTGAGCCTATTTGTTTACTTTTTCTGTATTTTATTTATTTTTTTTGTTCTGGAGGGGCCTGCGGGTGTTTGGGAGGTCGCCCCTGACGTGGCGGATTGCTGGGCGCACACGCAACCAAACCGACCCTCACCCTTCGTGGGAATAGGTGGCAAGGCCGCGGCCAGGTGCATGTTTTTTTTGTTTCTTTTTTGCCTTCTCCATTTGTCCCTTTTTTTTGTATATTGCCCCCCTGGCGCCAAGCGTGTTATGTATTTTTTCCCCCTCCTTCTGTTTTTTTTGTTTGCTGTAACTTTGTCTGTTTGCTTTTCCCACCACCCCACCCGCTGCCGCGGGTGCTTGGACGGGGGGACGCCGCTGGAGAGCGAGTGAAAGCCTGTGGCTCTCCGTGTGGTGAAGAAAAAAAAAGAGGGGAAGAAGTTGGGTGGCGTGGGCGAGAGTTCTGGAGCACGCGGTGCGCTATACACGCGAGTGTGCCTGCATATATATATATATATATATATACATCTCTCTCTGCGTATACACACAAGTAAGTATATTTGCATTCCGGACTCTTGTTATCTCGCCCTTCTTGTTTTGTTGTTTTGTTTTGTTTTTTCGCCATTCCGCGTGTGCGCGTGGATGGGCGGGCGAGTTGTAACTGTACCAATGTCCTCTTTCTTCTACTTGGGGGAGGGGGAGAGGTACTTTCTTCTATATGATTTCCTTGTCTGCTTCTTTTTTCTTTTGTTTTGGCTGCGTTCTCTGCGTGGTGGAAAGGGAGGCAAAAAGGGAAAAAAACTACGAGGGGGATGCGCCCCCGCTGCCCCTTCCGAATGCCGCCACCTTCGCTGCTTTTCCCCGGAGAGCGAAGTTGCTGCTTTTTACCTCTTGGCCAGGGACGTGGGGATATGCGTCTTTCTTTGGTTGTTTTTTCCCCGATTTGCTTTCTAAGTCGTTTGTGATTTGCCTTGTGTTTATTCCCCCTTCCCGGTCGCCATTCTTTCCACTTCTCCCTCGTCGCCCGCCGCTCACGGTTGGAGGTGGAAGCGTCCCGACCACCGCGGGCCGGCCATCTTTCCCTTCCGCTTCTTTTCTTCCTTGTGTTTGGCCGGCGCCGCGGTGGTCGGTTTTCCTTTTGCTTCACCGTACGGTGTGTGTATGTATGTGTGTTGTTGTTGTTTTTTGCGGGCGCCGTCGGCAGTGGGGCGGTGTAAGGTAAACACATGTGTGCCCGGCCCAGTGGGCAGGGTTGCGGCCACGAGACGTCCGCCACGGCAGCTGCGCCATGTCTGCATCATATACCACCAATGTATCTTTATTTGTATATATATATATATATGTATGTCTGTATCTTTATGTACGCTAATCCGGGCTGAGGCTCACGGCGCGTGGAAGTGAGGGTTAACATTTGGTCTGTTCCTTTGTTGCTGTTGCCGTTTTTTTTTCATCACCACTACCACCCCTGCCTCTGCCCTTTTTTCTTGCGCTCTTTTTCTCCCCCACGGTGTCTATCTGTGTGTGCGTGCGTCTGCACGTTGCTGTGCTGGTATCCTCCACTGGAGAAACTGAAGAAAGGGTGGAGGGGGGACGAAGCGGCTCTCCTGCTTCTGCGCGCACACACGCCTGTGTGTGTGTGTGTGTGTGCCTGTCTCTCTCTGCGTGCCTTGTCGTGGCCGTCCGCACTTCTTCCTCTTACTTCCCCTTCCCCCTCCCTCCGACCGCCGTGCGTCGCCTCACCGCGTGCGCCTGCACATAAGTGTCACACTGGCGCGGGGGAAACGCGGGCAGGGGAGGAGGGAAAAAACGAAAACGAAAAAAGGGAGGTCAACAAGAAGGGTGCGGTGGTCGGGCGTCGTTGACTGCGGCCGCGGAAAAGGAAGGTAGTAGTGACGGGGAAGGAAGAGGAGGAGGGGGAGACCCGGAGCCAAGGAAAGGCCCGGCGGCGAACCGACGGCTTCTGCCACCGCCGCTTCCCCCGCACTCTCGGCGAGCCGCGGGGGTGTTAGCAGGCGGAAGGGGAATAACAAAGACATAAATGGAGCGTCGGGCGCCCACGTCGGTCCGCAGCCGGCGGGACAGGGGATTCTACTACGAGGAGCCGCCCGCCGGCATGGGGGGCGTCATTGCGGAGGAGTTGGACGCGCTGGAGGTCCGGTATCATGCGACATTTTTTCGGCTGCACGACGGCGCGTCAAACAAACTGGCCACGGCCCCGCCGCCGCAGCGGGGCCGTGAAACGGGGGCAACGACGGCTTTAGAGCCGTCCTCATCACAGGCGGCGGCGTGCGAGGCCTCGGGCGCGTCCGAGTCCTCTCGATTACACACACCCGAGGAGCTGCGGCAGCCCCTGCATCAGGTGCCAACCCCACGCAGTGGCCATCTCCTGCTCTCCTGCGCTCCCCGTCGAAGTCTTATCCTGCACGGTGGGCTTGAGGTTGGGGCACATTCGTTTCTGAACGACACGTGGGAGTATTTGATTGATGCGCAGCGGTGGGTGCGGCTTATTTGTCACGGTGCCCCAGCTAGGCAGCCTCACCGCCCACGTCTGGGCAGGGAGAGCGTCAGCGATGAGGAGCAAGAAGTAGTGGAGGAGATGCCGCCAAAGGCATTTGGGCAGAGTGGTAGCCTGTTTGGGGACGGATGCTTTCTGTTTGTGCATGGCGGTGTGACGGACGAAGATGGCGACGTGGCCCCCGCGTTTCAGCTGGACATCGCGCGGCGGCGGTGGAGCAGGCTGCGGCTCACCACGCGGCTCCCGACGCGGTGGGGGTCGGTGGCGCAGACGCTGCTCCTCCCCGTCCCCGCGAGCCTCCCTTCGAAGCGGCTGTCGCTGACGACCTCCTCCTTCTCCTCCTCGTCGGCGGCGCGGGAAGCCCCGGCGTCGGTGGAGGCGCAGGAGGGGGAGGAGGAGCGGCGGCGGGCGGAGGTTGTGGTGGTGTTCGGCGGGATGCACGGCACGGAGGCCTACAACACGACGTACCTGCTCTACCTCACCGCCCCGCCGCCCTCCTCTGGCAAGCCGCGGTACTGCGAGGGTGAGAAGCGCGTGGTGGAGGTTCTCCCGCCGGTTGCCTCGTCTGTCTTTCCCGGGCGACGGCGGGCCTGTGCGACGGTGTGCCGCGGTTTTTTTTTCTTCGTCTTTGGTGGGCGCGACAACAACTACTTCTACAACGACCTGTGGGTGCTCAACGTCTACACGCGGCAGTGGGTGATGGTGCGGGAGGAAACCCCCTTGCGGTTTATGCGGGAATTCTTCCTGCGCCCCTACGACAAGAAACCGGGGGCGCGTATCATGGAGTACATTAAAAATGTGCTTCTGATGAGGCGCGATAGCAGGCGGTGTCGCGTGCCGATAAACATCCCGCACCGGTGCAGCCACTACAACAGCTCCGCGCTTTGGCGCACGGGGGCGGTGATGGTGGCGCGGGGCCTGGAGATTTTCATCCTCGGCGGCTTTAGTTACGACGGGCGCGGGATGCTTGCGACTCACAAGGACGTGCACGTCTACAACTACATGCGCCACTTATGGCGTGAGGCGTGCGTGGACGTGGGGTGTTTGCCGTCGCCGTTTCCTGCGGGGTATTTCGCGGCGACGCGGGAGGGCGGCGGGTCCTCGCCGAACTGGGAGTCCGTGAAGAATATTCTCTCCGTTCTGCCAGACGGCCGGACGATGGCGGCCATGTGCGTGGATCCGGTGATGCCGAGCTTTCGCTTCTTCCTCTACGGCGGCCGCTTCGAGGATGAGCCGATCGGGGAGCTGTACGACGTGCGGGTTCACGTCACCTGCGCCGCCATGTCCGACATGAGTTTGGTGTACGAGCGGGAGTTGCAGCACTGCGACGACGTCGTTTTTCGCTCCGCACCCGCCCCCTGGGAGGCGCGGCCGCTGCCCCTGACGTCGCTTGCCTGCTCCCCGGGCGAGTTCCCGTTGGCCCCGCGGGGGAGTCCCCGCTGCTGCGGCGAGCGCACGCTGCGGGAACAGGCGGGGGACTGGGTGCGGGCGGTGCTGCTGGAGGAGCCGACGCTGCGCCGCACGGAGTGCCTCCTGCTGTGGCCCGACGACCGGGTCGCGCGGCAGGAGTGGCTGAACGACGCCCACACCGCGGGCGACAGGATGCAGAAGAAGGTGGACGAAAGGCTCTCGGAGGCGATCCGTTCGGGGGTGTCGTTTGCGCCGCCATTTATCAGGCGGGGGTGACCTGCGGCTTTGCTTTACCCGCTTGCGCTGCCTCCCTTCGGGCGCCGGGCGCAGCAAAGCGCTCGGGAGAAAGCACGGGAGACGATGTCACGCCGCCGTCCTCCCCCTCCCCCCGCCGCCCACGTTACTGCTGCAATAAAGAGGTAGGAAAACAAACAAAAAAGGCCAGTCTCCAAAAGATATTGTGTGTGGGCGGGGCGACGTTCCCCGCGGCGAGCCAACAGGGCAGAGGGGGGAAGGGAGGCGACGAGCTGGCGCTAAGAATGTCGGGGGCAGCCGCATTTTGTCCGCTGCTGCGCTCTTGTTTTGTTTCTTTGTAGGGCGGCTTCTGCCCGTGTCTCTTTGCCGCTGGCATAACCGCGGAAGGGAAACAGAGAGGAGCGGCGTGGTCAACTGCGGCTGCCGCCATCGGTCGCCCGCGCCTCCTGCGGCATCGCGCATGCCGCCCGTGCGTCCTCTCATGAATATGAATATCCATATACTTATGTATGTATGCATATATATGGATGTGGATATGGATATGTATTATATGTGTATCACAGCAAAACCCTTTGCGCGTTCCCACGGCCTTCCCTCCGGCTCCTCCTCCCACGCGGACTCCCCTGATCGTCGCTGGGGCTTGGACGCGCGGGTGAAGCAGCGAGGGGCGCAAGAGGCCAGGGACCCTCCCGTCGTTGATGTTATTACCCCTCGCTTGGGAGAGTAGGTGGCTTGCCAAGAGAGGGAGTGAAACGGAGGAAGGAAAGCCATAGCCTGGCTCGCTGGCTCCTCACACACGCGCCGCGACTCAGACCCTCTTGTCGCCGGCACTCCTTCCTCCTCTTTCACCCACTCGCTCACTCGCCCTCGCTGTGGGTGGGCGTATGTTACGGCGCGCTTTGAACGCATGTGTGACGGTGTCTGTTTTCCCATCTATATCTTCTTCTTTACTCTTGCTGCTGCTTCTAGCCTACTTGGTGTGGCTCTCCAGCTCTTTTTTTTCCCGCGTGGCTGCGGGTCTTCTGGCGCCTCGGCCACCCGACAACGGCCCCCATGCTGCTGTTGTTGTTTTTTTGTTGGTTTTTGCAACTTTTGACCGTCCCCTCAGTGAGCGTGAAATGTGAGGCGGGCGGGATTCCGCTCTCGTAAAGGCTGTCGGCGCCGGGTGCGTGTGCGTGTGTGTGTGCATGTCCCTTCCCGTGTGTGTGGCTTGCGCCCTACCCGGTCTCCCCTCCCAAGTGGCTCCGGCGCCCATGCGTTGCTCTTCCCTTCGCTTCTCGCGTGTGCTCTGGCGTCTGCCGCCGCGCCCAGTCTGTTACTCGCCAGGGTTGCGGAAGCAAAAGCAAAAAAAGAAAAGGAAGAAAAAAAGAGCTAACAGTTGGCCACAGTCGCACAGGATCGCTTGCAATACATTTTAAAAAGGAAGAATTTTAAGACAAACACACACACACACACATATACATATATATATAATATAATACATATACATACATATCATCTGCGTGTTGGGTACCGTGTGCGTGTGCATCATTTGGCATTTGTATATTTTGTGTGTGTGTGTGTAAGATATATACATTATTTGCTGCAAACATTATTGTTTCTCCACGGCACGGGTGTTGGGCTGCGCGGGGGGGGAAAAAAAAAATGGAGGCCGCAAATGCGTCGAGGCCGCCGGTTGCCGGCTGGAGGGCGCTGGCGGAGCGCCAGATGTGCAGCGACTCCCCGGTTTTGGTCGACGGCAACCGCGCCACCGGCGGCCGCTTCGTTGTCCCCACGCGGGAGGCGCTGAAGCTCGACATCGGCGACGACGACTACCCGTGGCCGCGCCGCTACGCCATCACGTTCTCGGAGTGCCTGCAGAAGTTCTCCTGGGACCCCTACTCCCCGGTCTTCAAGAGCAGCGACATCGAGACCGCGCGCAACTCGTACCTGCGCACCACCATCCCCTTCGCCCGCCTCACGCGGGAGAAGCAGCTGCAGCGGCTGGAGATGTGGGGGGAAAACCTGCGCCGGCACGCGCCGGGCGACTTCAACCCCCTCGTGGAAGCCCCAGTGCCGGAGTCCCCGACAAAGCGATCGAAGCAAAAAAAGAAGCGGCAGCAAAAAAAAAGCAGCGGGAGGCTCAGCTCAGGCAAGAGCGGAGGCAGCAGCTGCTGCTGCAGCAGCGGCAACAACAGCCACCACCGCCACCACCAGCACCGCTGTTACCGCCGCCGGTGCATCAGCAGCAGCGCTTTTATCCGCGGCAGCAGTGCCACCAAGCACCACCAGTGGCGCAGCAGCAGGAGTATTTTTATCCGCGGCAGGAATACCAGCAACGACCACCGATGCGGGGTATGGACCCCTACTGGAGAGGCAACCATCCTCGCAACTTTCAATACAGCAACCCGCCGCCTGCGTATCATCGTGGCGATCACAACTTTTTTCCGGACTTTGCTGCCGCAGGTGGGTTTCAGGCCGCCCCAAGAAGCACCATTTTGTAGGATCTATGAAATTGTGTGGCCCGTACATGTATGCATGTTTTTATTTTTTTTCCCCACTGGGCTGCGTCCTGGAGCACCACCTGCGCTTGCGTGGAAGCTCCTGGCCGCCCCAGTTTACCCAGCGCCCCCAAGTCAGCACGGGGGGAGGAGCCGTGCGTTGGATTTGTGAAGGAAAACAACAAAAAAAGTGTGCTGTATTGCTCATTGCTCTTTATTATTTTTATGGGTTTTTGTTTTCTTTATTTACTCTGAAGAAAAGCGTGCATAAGCCTCTTCCTCTGCCCTTTCAATTTTTATGTCTGACACTTCCTTTCACGTTTTCCGTCGTGGAGCGGGGAGCGGGGAGCGGGGGGAGCATCACCCATTCGTTTCTGCGGTACTTATTCGTCGACACGTCTGTGCTTGCGTGGGAGGTTGTGGTTTCTCCGGGCGACACTGACGCGGTGTCTCTTCCTTTCTCTCTCTTCTCCTCCTTCTCTCTCCTTTCTCCCTTCCTTTCTCCCTTCCTTTCTCCCTTCCTTTCTCCCTTCCTTTCTCCCTTCCTTTCTCCCTTCCTTTCTCCCTTCCTTTCTCCCTTCCTTTCTTCTGCGATGTATGTGCGCGTGAGCGCCTCTGGGTCTTTTGGGGAGCCACTTTGCGCCGCTGCTTCTCCCTGCGGCGGCGGGCGTCAAGGGACGGAAGGGCAACTGCGCGTGCCTCGCCGTGTCTCCTGCGTGGTGCACCTGCCAAGCTTTGCTCTTTCTTTTTTGTCTGCCCTCTTTTTTTTTCTCTCTCTACGCGCTGCTCCTGCGGCGGCCGTGCAACCGCGTCGGTGTGCTGGTTTTTTGGAACGAAGGGAGAAGCAGCCAACGACAAGTAGACCGTCGTGCCGCGGGGATAAGCTGCTGAAAGGCTAGGTGCGGCAAGAGCAGGGGAGGCAGCAAGAAGGAAGAGAAAAAACGGGAAGAAGAACCTTTTTCTTCTGCGCCCTTCTTCTTTGCGTTTTGTCGTCGTTGTTCCCCGCGTTTGCGCTCCGCACCCCCCACCACCCCGTCGCGTTGGGGGATGTCTGACTTCCTGGCGCCGCGGGCGGCGTGCAATTTCGCCGCTCCCGTCGAATACCGCCGCCCTCCATCGCGTGCGTGCTTGGGGCCGCAGGCGGAGACCAGCCCCAACCTCTACAACGTACGCGAGAGAAACAGTGTCAATGCCTCTCCCGGGCCGCATGCGACGTACTCCGCGGAGAACAAGTACTCGTGGAACCCGTACTACAGTCCCGCAACGGAAGGAGGCGCGCGGGCCTCGAGGAGTTTCCCAGAGGAATGCAACGCGATTTCGCCCTGCGGGCCTTGTCCCATCGCTATAACGCCGCTGCAGGGAAGGTGCATGGCGAGGTGCGGCAGGGTGTCGTCGTCACCGGCGGAATCGCCCGTGCACAGCTTTGCTTGCGAGACGCCGACGATGATGTCGGGCCTTGAACTTTCGCCGCACTTTTCAAGCGTGCCGAGCGAGGGTGGGCCCGCCGCGTTGATTGCCGGAATTCACGCCATAGACGACAACGCCATCGTGGGCTCCACGTGTGGGTCCCACCTGGACAACATGCCGTATAGTTTTTTGCCGTATGCCCCCATTCAACCCGTGGGGGAGTCGTGTCCTTTCAACGACCTGGGCGCGAAGGAGAATGTCGCCTTTGACCTGGTCGGGGCGACGGGTGCGGAGACGCCGCAGGGGCAGCGATACTTCGCCCCACTCTTTCTGCCACACAGCCAGCAGAACGCCTCTTCGTACCCGTACTTCATGGAGCCAGGCTCCCTGCAGCTGGCACCAGGGCACTCCGCCAGCACCAGGACCTCACTGCTGCGCTTCTCGAAGATGCTTCCGCCCCCGGTGCGGTGGGATGCGGCGGGTGTGCTGGAGCGCGACAACCCCCAGCTGCCTCTTTCTGTCCTGTACGCTCCGGCGTGTCGGTGGTACAAGCACCTCCTATCGCTCCAAGGCGAGGGGTTTCCCTCGTGGCTTGGCAGCAGTTGCGGCCTGAGCGTCAGTGGCAAGGGCTCTTATGCGGAGTTGGAGATGCCGTGCCCGGCGCCGCCAAATGAGGCGGAGCAAGATGCGAACAACATGCGAATGTGGCTGAAGAAGTGCAATGAGTGGTGGGACAAATATTTTTCTGACAAGTCGCGGCACGGCGATAGGCGGCGAAACGGAGGCGGGCGGCCGAAATTGCGGCCCCGCGGCAACTCCTACCAATACCATACTTCTTACTGACAGCCATAGCAGTAGCACGAACAATCGCGTCAGCAGGGGCGGGAGCTTCGATGGATGGGGTGGCGTTCCTGCGTGAAGAGTGCTGCTACCGGAGCTTCATTTCACAGGAATCTAAAGCGGGTCTTGGACGTCTTCGCGGTGACGCCAGTGTGTGTCTGTGCGTGTGTGTCTGTGTGTGTGTGTGTGTCTACATGGCACCTGTGTTGCTCTTTCTTGCTTTGGACCCCGTACACAGACACCCAGTACTTGCGCCAGCTTGCTGATCGACTATATATATATATATATATATATATATGTGTGTGTGTGTGTGTTTTGTCTTGTTTCCTCAGTGTGAAGTATAGTATTTGAGTACATATTGTTCCACGGGCCCTCTCTATTTCTCCCTTCTAGTAGTGTGTGTGTGGTGTGTGTTTGTGAAGTGCAGGGGAAAGGTTGTTGTTGTTGTTCTTTTTTTTGCTTGGCTTTCGAATTTGGCTCCTCTCTGCTGAGGCGTGCCTTCATCACTCAACAATGCATGCCTTATATATATATATGTATATATGTATATATGTATGGCACATACATGCAAAAACAAAAATACATATGAATATATATATATTTATATATATATATATACCAACCACGTGCGTTTCGCTTTATGTGTGCCTTGTTTGTTTGTTTGTTTGTTTGTTTTGCCTGATTGAACGAGAGGGCGTTTAGTTTCCTTCTTGGTTTATATGTCCTCCTTTTTATTGTTGTTGCTAAACAGAGAAAGGGAGGCAGTGGTGTGCAGTGGCAAGGAAAAACAGGGGGAGGGGGAAGATACCTATATAAATATGTATACATTCCATGGGACGGTCCACGTGCACACCTCTGCCCTGTGTCGTAGTGCTTGCCCGCCGTTTTTCATTTCCTTTTCTTGTCGTTTGAGCATCTGTTCTCCGTTGCGGCTTAGATGTTCGTGTGGTTTGCGTCTGGTGGGCGAGGGAAACGGACTCAAACCGGCATGGGGCAAGGTAAATGGAGGATTGTGTTTTTCTTTTATCTTCTTTTGTTTCGCTTTTCGTGTCTTTTCTCTTTTTTTTTCTTTCTTTGTCGTTGTTTGGTGCGTGGGGGAGGGGGAATTCGTCCCTTTCCCCCACGCGCCCTCCCTCCCCCGCTTGTTTCTATTTCTCTTGAGGGTTGCCCCCGCCCTCCGCGCGGGGCGCTTAGGACGCGCGAACACGAATGAATTTTTACCGTCTCATGTGTCTGTGTGTGTGTGTGTGTGTGTGTGCGTTGTTCTTTTTAAAAAATTTTCAATTTTCCTTCTGCGGTGAACACGTCGCCTGCCTCCCCCGCCCTCAGTTTTCGTTTTTCTTTCTTTTTTATTATTGCGGCTCACGGGAATTGGGGCGCGATGGGCGACGGCGCGTGCTGTTGGGCCCCTCCCCCCCACCCCCCACCCCACCCCTCACTGTGGGGGCCGCGCGAGGCGCTTGTTTCGCCGGGCCGCGAAGTGCAGCTCCGCTCTTTTTCTTTTTTGCCTGCCGCCGCCGCCGCAGCCACGCACTAACCTCTTCTTTGCGCCGGCTGTCTGTCTGTGCCCGCGTAGGTGTGAGCTGCCGCCTCTGGTGGGGGGATGCCCTCTGCGCCCACTGGACCCCCCGCGCTGCGGTGTTCGTTCAGCGGATGCATCTCCGCGCTTTGCGGCAGCGGGGGGTGTCTGGTGGGGAGGGACGCGGCCCGCCCGCACCCCCAGCGGCAAGCCTTTTGCTTTCCTCCCTGCCCCCTTTCCTCATCTTGTTGTTGTTATTGTTATTATTTCGGTCGTCGTCGCTCAGTCATTTCTCGCACGCATGCCTGTCTGTCCTGGGGATTCGTGTGAGTTCTCTCGTTCGTTTCTTCGCCTCCCACGGGTGCGTTGCTGCGTCCCCGCAGCTTCGTTCGTTTTGTTCCTTTCGTTTGTTGCCCTCGCCTTGTCTCGCACAACAGTTCCCTCCCACCTCTGCCCGCATGAAGGCTTAAAAACGGGAAAATAAAAAAAAGCGGAAATGGAACGAA